AGAGAGAGGAAAGATAGAAGATAGGGATCCAAGCTAAGGCAGTTGGCTTTTCTGCTCTGCGTAGAAGTCTGATCCCCCTTTTTATGGATTAGACTGCAGAAGAAGGCAACTCTGGCTAACGAAGCAAATTCAGAAGTCACAAGGCTTATTTGTCTTACAATGAACTTGACTCATAATCAGCTTTTTTTTTTTCACGGAAAAAAAAAACCACCTTCTTTTCCATTTAATTTTATTCTTTTTGTTCTTGAGTTAAAGAAATTTGATTACTTAAGTCTGTTTTTATTGTAAGTATGCCACAACAGGAAAAAAAACACACACACCGAACTTAAAAAACAAATATACACTGAAATATGGTATTACAGCAATGCTGAAAATTAAACCTGTTTTTTTTAAAAAAAAAAAAAACTATGGATCCTATTTTTAGAACAATGTTATTTTTCCTCACCTGGCGTTTCTGATGAGTTGGACAGTGGAGCTGAGGCTTCTGCTAAGGCAGCCAGAGTTGCCAGAACTGAAGTTGAGGAATTGCCAAACTGGACAGCAGACATTCCACTCTCATCTATAAACACACAATCCATAAAAATCATGTCAGAAAGTCACATAATTCTACTCGCCCATTTCATTCGAAATCATTTTTTCCCCCTCAGAATGATATAAGCCTTGAACTCTCAATCAAACACACCCCATATTCAGTTCAGTAGCAAGCAGAGATTTATTCCTTTTCTGGAGGCAAAAGTAGACTGAAGTGAAATAAACGGAGTGGCACCAGCAGAATTCCACACAAATAGAGAGAGTGCTTTGACATCAAACTCTGGGCTCAAAGCCAAACTTTAGACAACGTTAAAATCATCCCATGCTGCTTTGAGCCGATATGAACAATCCAAGAGATGACAACAGCAGCAAAAGAAGCAACGTATCTGATACGGTTTTAGCACAATCTAGGAGCACAGCAAGGAGCTTACCAAGCAACTGGACACAATCATATGACGTGTCTGCCGCCTGATCAAGAATAACGGTGGCTTGTATGGAAATTGCTAAATAAGACTGCACACTGGAGTAGGAAGATCAATTTAAGAAAATGGGGATTCCCTATAAAAGATAACTGTGTGAATGTGGAGAAGAACAACCCATCTCACATATGGGAAGGTGCGTACGATGTGCTTCAGCATGTACGGAGGAAGACTTCACGCTGGTGAGAGAAAATGCCATTGATGTGGCCCGATGCTGGACGAATGTCATTAAAATTTAATGTATTTTACATACTTTCTGTGCATGATATATTTCTATGAGCTATTTTACACCTATTTTTACTTGCTCAGTATTGAATGATGTGCGTCTGTAACTTGAAAGTGCTTCTGACGCGAAGAAAGAAAGCGCAACCTTATTCCCAATTTAATAGAGTGAGCAAGGAATTTGCAATCCTCAGTGACACTGAATATCTGCCGTACACGAGACCGGCTGCAGAGAATACTCCACCTGTTAGATTCACAACTCCGCCAGGCCCAATGATGAACTGTGGCGTTGCTGCATGAATCGTCACTGTATCGGGGCTTTCAGGATTCGTGTTGATTTGGTTCTGCATTGCGATCTGTGACCGAAAACAACACAACAACAACAGTGCTTTGTTTTTACACTTTTTGTAGGGGCAGGGAAGGGGGAATGAATTTTAAGATGAATATAGTACATAGCAGATGTTCATAAATTATACATTAAATCTCAGACAGAATAGCAGTCAACAGCTTAATATAACCTACAGCTCATGCGTAGTGTGTTGTTATTCGCTAGTATATATTCAATATGGAAAAATATCTTGCAGACAAGTATTCAGAATAAATGCATCAGTTTCAAGAGGGAACAGAGTATGACGATAAAGAAACAAGGATTGAGGGCCAGGGAATCAATTTTATATATAACACCACAGCCTAGAGCAGAGGTCCCCAACCCACGGGGTTTGCGATTGGGCCATGGAAAAAGCCAACAAGCGTGCA